CCATATATCTTGTATAAGCAATTCATCCTTCATTTTTTAAAAAAGCCTTAGGTAAAATGTTTCCTCCCCCCCTTGTTTATAGCTTTTATCATCCTGTGTTGCATCGGCTATTGCATTAAAATCTCTCAATATACAAATATTTTGGTGATTTAGATCCACTAGTTTATCATATAGTTGCTGATAAAACTAGTCTTGCTTCTCATTAGGTGCATATATTGCAATCATCAATATTTGTTTTTGATTCCATGTAATTTCCACCATTAATATTCTCCCCTCTTCATCAGCATAGACTTGTTTTGGATTCATCTTTTCTTTTATATAAAGAGCTATACCTCTTTTCTTTTGAAGTGCCAGGGAAAAGTAAAGCTTACCCATTTTTGGTTGTTCTAAAATTCTAAAATGTCTCTTAATATGTGTCTCTTGAAGACAAATTATGTCCATTTTCAAATGTTTTACTCCTTTTTGAAGGAGAATTCAGACCATTTATATTTATTGAAAAAATTCCAATCTCCTCTATGGCTTCAGTTATATCTAGACCTCAATCTTCTAGGAGAGCTTATTTGCCTCTGGTCTTTCAGTCTTACATCTTCCTCTGGTTGAGTCTTTTTAGGCTCTTTTTCCTCCACTTGTTTAGGCGCTCCTACGGCGATCATTTCTTCTTGCTTCTTAGGCTCAGGGTCACCTCTTTCCAGAAAGGCTCTATGGTTGTTAAAGAATTCCTCTGCTTGAAATGGGATATCCAATCTGTATCTTTTCGAGTCCCAGAAGATTAATAATCCTTCTGGGACCAGCCATCTGAAATTCACTCCTTTATTAAACAATTTCTTTGTTAAAAACTGATATTCTCTTCAGGCTTCTCTTATACTTCTAGGGATTTGTTTAAGAACTGCAAGCTCTTTTTCTTTATATTTCAGTGGTTGATCTCTTATTGCTCTCAAAGTTTCATCTGTTGTAAATCTTTTGACAAATCTTACATGGACTTCCCTGGGAACTTTGTTTCTTCTAGCATAGCTTGAATTAACTCTAAAGACCTGATCTATCTCTAGTTCCATTTGAATCTTTTCCATTCCAAGTAGCTCCGCAAGCAACTCGCTCATCAGATCTAACAAGTTCTCATCCTTCTTTTCTATGACATTTTGAAATCTTAAAAAATATGGTGATCTTTCCATCTCCATCACAGCCATACTATCTTCCAATTCCACATTTGCTTGCTCCAATCTCTGATTCTCAATTTGCAGGTATTCTAATTTCTGGTCAACTTCCACCGACTTGCCTTCTATTTTTTGAATTCTTTGTTGGTTGTCTGTGATCGCCTGTTGGAAGGTTTCCATTTTTTGGTTCATATTAACAAGATCATTTTTCAAATCTTTATAATTTTTATCCAGATCCTTTTTCATTTCCATTTTCAGGTCTTCAATGTTTTTAGTCGTAACTGCCGCCTGAGCTGTAATTGCTTGCAGTATTGCTTGGGTGTCTTTTTGTTGGAATTCCACTTTTTCTTGTTGTAGAAATGTAGTAATTGATTTTTGAGGAACTGGACTTGCCAGAGTTGAAGCAGGGGCAGAGGCTCCCTTCCCCCCCTAGCCAAATTTGAGGTACTCATCTTCTGGTTGTTATATTACGTTATAATCCACCAGGTGGCCAATTGTAATCCAATGCCCTCCTATTACTAGGAAAGGAGACCAAATGTGGTTTAAAAAAATAATTCCAGGAGGGGGGTAGAAGAGGACCCCAAAAGCCTCAAAAAAGGAGAAAAAATTATCAAAAGAAAGCAAATTAATAAAAATAGAAGAGACTAGATTGGGAGCAAAAATGCTCCTGCAAAGAAAAATATCTAAAAAAAAAAAACCCGAGAAAGAATCCAAAAAAGGGCAAGGGAGAAAAAGCTAAATATAGCAAGAAAAAGAAAGCAAAAAAGGAGGAAGTAAGGCAAAATAGAGGGAAAAATCAAAAACAAAAAAAGAAAAAACCTGTAGTAGAAATTATCCAATTTATAATCCATCTAGTTCAATTCAACAGCAAAAAGGATAACAAAAAACCCAAAAAAATTTAACGTTCAATTCTTCTTAAAATAGGAGTAATGCAACTAAAACTAGCCAAAAAGACCAAACAGAAGGAAAAAAATCTCTTTAAGTAACTTTTGAAAGCAGATAAGAATGTCTGGGCATTCAGCCAAGTGTCTGGGCATTGAGCCAAGTTATCAGGCTGAGTAAACAACAGCTGCTGAAGAACAAAGGGAAAAAAGTTTCAATGTAGCCACAAAGGAGACAATGTATCCTTCCCAGCCATTTAAACAGGAAGAGAAAAAAAGTATTCAGAGTGAAGGAAAAAAAAGTTTCTAAAGTTTTAAAGACAAAATTAAGGCTAGAATAGCTTTCCCCAAGTTAAAAATATTTTTTCCTAAAAAAACAAATAGTTTTCCCCAGTTTCTATTAGCACTTAAAAAGACTTTAAGGTAATCCAAATTGTTTTTTTTTTCCTTTTGTAGTGAAGTAAAGCTTAAACCACCGCTTATGTGGGGGGGGGGAACCCCTTCTTCCTTCCTTCAGGCTTCCCATTTCAATTGAAGACAGGCTGTTAGATCAAAGTCCACTTAGCAGAAGAAAAGGGAGCACAGTCTCACCCAGCTCGGCTGCTTGCTATCAAAATCAACTGTTCTCTGTCTCTGACGATCAGCTGTTAATGGCGTTGGTTCCAGGGCTGCTTTGAGTTTGGTGAACTGGCTACTGCTGGCCTGCGTTCCTCAAAGATTCACCCTTCGGTGGCCACTTCTCTGGGGTGGCATTCAGCCCAAATGGACCTGCCAGCAGAAGAATATCAGACCTAGGGGACAGAGAGTCAATTCCCTCTGTCTAGACTCAGCAACGGTCACCGGAAATCCTCACTTTCGACCCTTTCAAGGGTCCCCAGTGGGGCAAAATCAAACACGAAAGACAGAACCCCATCTTCCTGCACCCATATTGCTGTGACATCAAACCGGAAGAACAATATCAAGACTGGATCTTAATTAACAATAAAGAATAAGAAAAGTGAAAGAATCCAGTGAGAAAATGGAATAACTATAGCAAGAGAAAATACAAGAAAGTACTATCTCCCTGGAAAAGTATTAAAAGACAGACTAATTTCTCAACAGAAGGAGTGGAAGGTGGTGGACACTGCATGGAACAGAGGGGGGGGGAACCTTACAAAGTACTTGAAAAGTATGTAGAGTTATTTTAATGGGAGAGATGGAAAAAAAATACATAGTGGAAAGATAAACTGGATAAGCAAAAAATCTTTAAAATATTAAAAGGCACACAAAAAATACAGAACTGTTTTAAGGGAAACAATTATTTTGGGATACTCTTTATTAGAGGGACCCCCAATCTCCCTGACTAAATAATAATAATAATAATAATAATAATAATAATAATAATAATAATAAAGTTGGAAGGGACCTTGGAGGTCATCTAGTCCAACCCCCTGCTCAGGCAGGAAACCCTATACCATTTCAGACAAATGGCTGTCGAGTCTCTTCTTAAAAACTTCCAGTGTTGGAGCATTCACCACTTCTGGAGGCAGGTTGTTCCACTGGTTAATTGTTCTAACTGTCAGGAAGTTTCTCCTTAGTTCTAGATTGCTTCTCTCCTTGATTAGTTTCCATCCTTCTGTCCTGCCTTCTTGTCCTGCCTTCAGGCGCCTTGGAAAATAGCTTGACTCCCTCTTCTTTGTGGCAGCCCCTGAAATATTGGAACACTGCTATCATGTCCCCCCCTAGTCCTTCTTTTCATTAAACTGTACACACCCAATTCCAGCAGCCTTTCCTTCTATGCTTTAGCCTCCACTCCCCTAATCATCTTTGTTGCTCTTCTCTGTACTCTTTCTAGAGTCTCAACATCTTTTTTATATCGTGGTGACCAAAACTGGATGCAGTATTCCAAGTGTGGCCTTACCAAGGCATTGTAAAATGGTATTAATACCTCACATGATCTTGATTCTATCCCTCTGTTAATGCAGCCCAGCACTGTGTTGGCTTTTTTTGGCAGCTGTAGCACACTGCTGGCTCATATTTAAGTGATTGTCCACTAGGACTCCGAGATCCCTCTCACAGTTACTACTGTTGAGCAAGGTACCCCCTATACTATACCTGTACATTTGTTTTTTCTTGCCTAAATGTAGAACCTTACTTTTTTCACCATTGAATTTCATTTTGTTAGATGGCGCTCAGTGTTCAAGTCTGTCCAGATCCTCCTGTATCCTAAGCCTGTCTTCTGGAGTGTTGGCTATTCCTGCTAGCTTGGTGTCGTCTGCAAATTTGATGAGTTCCCCATCTATCCCCTCATCCAAATTGTTGATGAAGATGTTGAAGAGCACTGGGCCCAGAACAGAGCCCTGGGGCACCCCACTACACACTTCCCTCCATGTAGATGTGGTTCCATTGAGGACCACATGCTGAGTACGGCCGGTCAGCCAGCTACGGATCCATTGGTGGTGATGCTGTCTAACCCGCATTTTTCTATCTTATCAAGTAGTAGGTTGTGATCTCCTTTATCAAATGCCTCATTAAAGTCCAAATAAATTATATCCATAGCATTCCTCTGATCTACTAATTTTGTCACTTGGTCAAAGAGTGCAATAAGATTTGTCTGGCATGATCTGTTTTTGACAAACCCATGTTTTTAGTAATGACTTTGTTTGCTTCTAGGTGTTCACTGATTTGTTTGATTATGTTTTCCAGAATCTTCTCATGTATTGAGGTCAGGCTGATAGGTCTGTAATTTCCTGGGTCCATTTTTTTTCCTTTTTTGAAGATGGGAACTACATCAGCTCTTTTCCAGTCCTCCGGTAGTTCCCCAGTGCTCCAGGATCTTTGAAAAATATAATTCAATGGTTCTGAGATCACATCTGCTAGTTCCTTGAGAACCTTGGGGTGTAATCCATCTGGTCCTGGTGATTTGAACTCGTCTAGGCTGGACAGGTGCTCACTTACCGTTTTCTTGCCTATCTTAACTTGCGTTTCTATTCTGTTTTTATGGCACTATTTTTGGTAGGTTGGTCTGTTTTTTCCCTTTGTGTAAAGACAGATGCAAGTTTAGTAAGCTCAGGAAGAGTTTCAAGTGCCTTTGATGAAATAATGCCGTCTATTGGGACTTAGGAGACCTTCTTCTGTGTTGCATACCTGCCCTCTGAAAAGGTTTCCCCTTAGAGACCCATTTAGTTCCCACCCTGATAATGTTCTGCTGGTTTTCAGAAACCTGACTATAATGAAGAAGAGGATGATATAAAGCAAAGATCATCAGCACATTTGTAAATGTAAAATTAACAGTGCTGTCTACATGTTGGCTTTTAATTTACGGTGTCAAATCAAGTATTTGAAACCTGACAACTTTACTGAAACGAATACTAAATATAGATGGCAACAACACTCTGCTTCAGGGCTGAGCTTGTGGCTCTCATTAACACATTCAAGTGGATTTGGAGAAGACAAAGGAACAACATTGCTGATATATGCATATTTCCAGCATTTTATTGTGAAAGAAAATATATTAGTTGGGGATGGTTTAGATGTGAGTAATATTCAGTTCTCTAAGTTTTTAAATGTGTTAAGAATTTATTCTTTCATGAACTGAAGTATTTATTTATTTATTGATAGTCTCTGTATGTTAGTTATTCATATGACAGATGATAGTGGTAACGTAAAGAATTAGTCCTGAGTACTCTGTAAAGAAAGTTGCCATTTTCTACCTCTAGTCTGTTTGAAAGTAAAAAATGGATACAGCATTATGGTTTTAATTGTTCAAGAATCATAAATGTATAATGAGCAAGCTTTAGATATTTCAGATGATATTTAAAATCAATAACCATATATATTAGATAAATATATTTGAACTAGATTTAATTAGCATCCTGTTTCCTAATTTTTGCTTCTTGCCTCTAGGGAAAAATAGAGCACGCACCTTCAAAATATCAAACAACCCCAATACTGGTGGTATAGATTCAGAGAATTGCAGAACATGTTTTTAAATGCAGTCTGATCTAGCTGTTGAGCTTATCCTGAACGGCTTCGAAAAGGACAATCCCAAAATAGCAATAATGACGTGGCTGTTGGATGTTATTCCTTTCCAACACATATTTTCCCAAAGGAACAATAACCCATCTGTTCTGAATTCAATCAGTGTTGCATACATATTTTTCTAATCAGCATGACCCATTCTTTATAATTCTTTATAATTATATATTCTTATTACAGCCCTCAATAGTTGGAACAGAATGAAGTTTTCTGGGTTTTATGATGTCATAATATTTGAAAGCATCATGCATGTTAAAACAGTTTTCCCTAAAAAATTGAACATTTAATTAAACTTCAAAGTGGTCTCTGTTTAAGTTCTAAGATTGACAGAAAATAAGCAATGAATCAAGAAGTAGCAGTAAACAAAATTCATACAGTATATAGCATTTATGTAGCATAGGCTGAGTAAGCAGTGTAACTCAAAGCAATTTTGCAGCTGAGCAGTGTAGATGAGAGGAAAAGATTGCTTTAAGGAATTCTGGCCATTCAGAGAGTTTATATATAATCATTCAAATGTGCATATTTACATATAGCCTATGCTGCATGACTAGCACATATATCTTTCCCTTATCTTGGGCATACTTAGGTACAACTCCTAAAAAAAATCCAATAATTCTTTTTAAATAAAGTTTGTTGTCATCTCATAGGTATCATGGAGAGTTCTTCTGAAAGTATCTTTAAAAATTCATACGAAGAAGGGAAACTTTATGCTCTTGATTCATTGAACAACTTAAATGAACATGTTTCTGCAGCTCAAACTCAGCCCCCAAGTATGTATGCTACACAATATTTTCTTAGCAGTTTTTCAGATTTATGTATGCTGCTTACTTGGTGGCATTTAACAAGATAAATATGTTCTCTGATTGGCTTAGACAGCACACAATAGCATGTTAAGTGGTGCATCTGAACAGGTTCTCACTGACCTACAAAACAATGTTGCTATCATGTGCTCAAAGTTTTTTTCTAGGATGGGAACCAGGAAAGTATTATTTGATTCACCAATAAAGTCCTTCCTATGAATGTTCCCTTAGAAAAATGAATAGAAGAAATAATTAAACAGGCACAAGAAACTCTGGCTCTCTGGATGCTGCTGAATTAGAATTTCCAATAGCACAATTGACCATGCAGGTCAGAGCTGCTGGAAATTGTGGGTTAATAATTTCTGAAGAACCATTTCCCATCCTTTGAAGAGTAAAATTGATCTGGGTTTATTGAGTTAAAACAAACTAGCAGTATTAATCTTCATACAGGAGAAAGTATAATGTATATATTATGGCTTTAATAAATATGAATTGTTCAGAGTTTAAAAATATTTAATTCAAAGTTTATAGTAATCTATGGCTAAATCTTTTAGGCTACAGAAATAAAGATTATAATTTTTAAACAATTGTTAGCTAATGGAGTAAAAGTAATACTGTATAAACTTATTTTAAATGATTGGTTAGTATTGATATTATACATGTATTTTTGATCCTGTTTGGAATATTATTATTATTATTTTTACTATAAGTCAAATGATCTTTACTTTGTATATTTATCTCTTGCATGGCTGTCCAATTTGCATATGTAACAGTACTTGGTGTATCCAAGTTGCAGTGCAAGCAACAGAGCCATGATCTTTAGTTCTCTAAAGATATTTCAGTTGTACTTGGTGTACTGGATGTACTTCAATAACAGTTGCGTATTTTCATTTGTTTCTTTCATGTGTGCAACATAGCCAACACGTATGGAAGGATGTACATTGCCATTGTGTAAAAATAGAATATTTCTATAAAATGGTATGTGATAGGTTAAATTACAGATTATTTTCATGATTAGTAATCAAGATATATAAGATATATCCAAGATATTCAGGAAGCAAAATTGTTGTTGTTCAATGTAGTCATTGAGCAGGGTATCAAAGCAGTAGTCAGTAAGGCTGTTTGGCCTAAGATTTTAAATTTAAAAGATGACTCTGTACAGATAGTCCTCGACGTACGACCACAATTGAGCCCAAAATTTCTGTGTTAAATGAGACAGTTATTAAGACAGTTTTGTCCCATTTTACAACCTTTTTTGTCACAGTTGTTAAGTGAATCACTCCAGTTGTTACGTTAGTTAAGTGAATCTGGCTTCCCCATTGACTTTCAAAAGGTGATTACTTGACTCTAGGACACTGCAACTGTCATAAATATGAGTCAGTTGCCAAGCATTTGAATTTTGATCACGTGACATAGGGATGCTGCAAAAGTTGTAAGTGTGAAAAACAGTCATAAGTAATTTTTTCAGTGTCATTGTAACTTCAAACAGCCACTAAATGAACTATTTTATGTTGAGGACTACCTATATTATTCAGTTATGAGTCTCAATAGATAGAGCTCACCTGATTAAATCTGAAGCTATGAGAAAGCCTGGCATTCTCTTGAATGCAGCTTATTTAGTGTTAATCTTGAGCACTGGGGGAAACTAAAAGAAGGCTTTCTGAGAATGTATTCCAAGGGGAGCCTAGAACTACTTGAGTTACAACAATTCAAAACTCACTTTTACTTATTTAACCTAGGTATTTTTTGAATAGTTCCAAAATTATGATAACACCAATCCACTCTGCCCAAATTTCAAAACCTGCTGGAAAAATCTGGTCATAATTGTTAAGTCTTTAAGTTAATTGCAAATGAAGAGCATGCATTCTGTAACCAACAGCTCTTTATTTTTCTTCTGCTCACTCCAACAATGAACTCAGAGACTCGCAGGCCTCTTATCTATGACCGGATCCCCAGGCAAAATGGTTACAGGGAATTGGCGTGCTTTCGCGCCTCGCATATGCGCGCAAGGCTGGCGCCGCTCAGTCTGGTCCTGGGCAGCTTGCAAATGCCTGGGACCATAGCAATGTCCCAAGTCTGTTTTTGCAGGCTCCGGACACAACACCCCTTCCCCCCAGATAAGGCTTACTCTGCACACATGTGCGACCTCTCTGAAGGGACATGGTATCTGAATCCATCATTTAAATGCATGGACTGTGGATATATATATATATATATATATATATATATATATATATATATATATGTTTTCTGAGGTTTTCGCGGGTGTTTGTATGTAGGTCTTTGGTTGTTCGGGTTTTCTCCCGCGTAAAATTGGAAGTGTCTTGGCGACGTTTCGACGAAGTCCCATTCGTCATCTTCAGGCTGGTGTTTTCAGCTTCGTGCTTTGAGCAGCAATGTGTGGTCTTAGCTGTTTCTTCCTTTTAACTGCCAGTGGGGGTATGAACTGATTGGGTGGGAGCTTGGCTGTGTTCTGATTGGGTGGAGGTGTGTTCTGATTGGTTAGGGGCGTGGCTGTGCTCTGATTGGCTGGGGGGTTGGCTGTGCTCTGATTGGCTGGGGGAGTGTTCTGTTTGGTTGTGCTCAGGTTAGTCTGAGTTGCAGAGGGGTTTAAGATTTTGGGCTGCCTTGCTATTTTTTGGCTTCGCGTTTGTGGTCGTGCCTCATTTTCATGGAGGGTGTCAGTTTGCTTCATGTATGGATTGGAGGGCTTTAAAGTGGCTAATGATGCAGCTCTGGTCTGGCTTCTGGTTTGTGGTCGTGCCTCATCATCGGTGTGGCTTTGGGTTTGCTTTTTGCGTGGATGTGTGGTGGTGACATCCTGTGTGGTTTTTGTGAGTGTGGGTCTGGTATCATTTTTTGTGTTAGGGAGTCGTTTGTCAATAAGGGCGGGTTTCCAAATGGCTGGTAGGCGGGAGGTATCATCTCGCTTGTTCATGCTGTGTGGGCGTTTTTCTATCTCGATGGCTTCTCTGATTATTCTGTTATTAAAATGTTCACTTTTGGCAATGGTTCTGGTATTTTTAAAGTCAATTTCATGTCCTGTGGCTTTAAGGTGTTGGACCAGGGAAGATGTTGGTTCCTCTTTTTTGACTGAGTTCTTATGTTCTTCAATGCGTGCACTTATTCTTCTGTTGGTTTGTCCATGTATGTGGTGGGACAAGTGGTGCATGGGATTTCGTATACTCCTTGATTTTCTAATTCAATTTTATCTTTGGGGTTTCTAAGGATGGTGGATATTTTTCTGTTTGTGCAGAATGCTGTTTTGATGTTGTGTTTATGGAGGATCTTACTGATTCTGTCTGTGGTGCCTTTTATGTATGGGAGGAGGGCTTTGCCGTTTTCTTGTTCTTCGTCTTGGATTTTAGTGGGGGTTTCTTTTTGGATTAGGTTTGTAATCTTATTTCTTGGAATCCATTGGATGTTAGTACATTGGTGAGAGTGTGTAGTTCGGGTTTTTAGGTGTTGTTCGTCAGCTAAGCGTTTTGTTCTGGAGATGAGTGTCTTGGCTACAGAGTTGATCTGTGCTGGGTGGTGGTGTGAGAGAGCGTGCAGATAGCGGTTTGTGTGTGTTTTCTTCTGGTAGATGGTGTGTCCTAGGGAGCCATTGGATTTCTTGTAGACTAAGACATCCAGGAAGGGAAGTTGGTTGTTAGCTTCTGTTTCCATGGTGAACTGTATTTTGGGGTGTAGGCTGTTGAGGTGTGTGAGGAAGTTGTCCAGTTTTTCTTTCCCATGTGGCCAGATTATGAAGGTGTCGTCTACGTATCTGAGCCAGAGTTTGGGTTTGTGATCCGATTTTTCTAGAGCTTGGGTTTCAAAGTGTTCCATGTAGAGGTTGGCAATGACAGGTGAGAGGGGTGATCCCATGGGTGCTCCTTCTGTTTGTTTGTATTTTTGTCCATTATAGATGAAGTATGTGTTGGATAGGCAGTGGTTGGTCAGATCTAAGATGTGTTTGGGGGGGTTATATTTGTTTTGGATAGCTGTCAAGGCTTCTTTGATAGGCACTTGGGTGAAGAGGGATATGACATCAAAGCTCACGAGTAGGTCGCTGGGCTGTAAGTTTTGTTTCTTTATGATCTCTATAAAGTGGAATGAGTTTTTTACGTGTGAGGTGATGGATTCTGCATAGGGCTGTAGTTGTTTGGCGAGAAATTTGGCTAGGTTTTGTAGAGGTGAGCCTATGGAGCTGACTATAGGTCTGAGTGGGGTTCCTTCTTTGTGTATCTTGGGGAGACCATAGAGTTTGGGGCATCTGGATGATTTCTCTCTGGGAATGATTCTTTGCTGGATCTCTTCGCTAATGGGGGAGGCTTTTATTTTGGATCTGGTGGTTTTTTCCAGGTAGGTGGTGGGATCTGTATTTAGGGTTTTGTATGTGGAGTCTTGGAGTAGGTTGGTTAATTTGGTTTGGTAGTCCGATGTGTTCATAACCACCGTGGCGTTGCCCTTGTCTGCTGGTAGGATTATTATGCTGGTAGGATTATTATGCTGGTAGGATTATTATGCTGGTAGCATAATAATCCTACCAGCAGACAAGGGCAACGCCACGGTGGTTATGAACACATCGGACTACCAAACCAAATTAACCAACCTACTCCAAGACTCCACATACAAAACCCTAAATACAGATCCCACCACCTACCTGGAAAAAACCACCAGATCCAAAATAAAAGCCTCCCCCATTAGCGAAGAGATCCAGCAAAGAATCATTCCCAGAGAGAAATCATCCAGATGCCCCAAACTCTATGGTCTCCCCAAGATACACAAAGAAGGAACCCCACTCAGACCTATAGTCAGCTCCATAGGCTCACCTCTACAAAACCTAGCCAAATTTCTCGCCAAACAACTACAGCCCTATGCAGAATCCATCACCTCACACGTAAAAAACTCATTCCACTTTATAGAGATCATAAAGAAACAAAACTTACAGCCCAGCGACCTACTCGTGAGCTTTGATGTCATAT